TATTTGTCCTAAGTTTGGTTCGTTCCCCGAGACTTAAATCGTACCCTTCATGCATCTGCATAACATTTTGACTTTAAAAATACTTCCTACTTTATATTTCCTCTGGCTTTTTAGGCATATACATGTACAGTGTACCAGTCACAGCGTTATCTATGTGTTTCCGGAGCTCGACAGCATTAAACTTATTTTAAGATGAGGGGAAACCTCCTCGAGTGTCATTGTATTTTCCATCTTGCAACTCGACATCACACTTCTAACGACGTTTACTATTTATAATTAAACTGGTCATGCATGGAAATTTTGCAACAAGTTTAATTAGATGCAGGAGAAAGTATAAACTATCATGGAATTCACAGTCTAGATCGACAGAGTATCAGGACTAAAATGCATTTGCACTAACATAAGGTATATAATTTGTCACACGATTGCCTTAAAAAAGTAATTAGAGTTATTTCTCTGGCACATATATTTAACCTAGGTTTTAAACTGTCATTAAAAAAACGCCCTGCATATATATTTCCTTCGCGGTAGATAATGCTGATAGTACATCTGTTTTATCTTTATTATCTAAAATGTAAACAAGGTTTGTTTCCTATAACATTTTAACTTCTCAACTTAATTTTACTTTCCACGTGCTTTTCTAATTTAGAATGGTAGTGTTTTATCGAAGTGGGCTTTAACCTCCTAAAAAAAATGTTCTTAATTGTTACGTCTGGACTTTAATTATTGTGAGTATTAATTATATTTTGTCCCCTATGCTTAATACCACTGACATCAGTATCATAGGGGTCATGTATTACCCGGGGCACGTTATATATGTGTGTTACGTTTTCCATTTCACTTTTTTTTTTTACCTTATTCAAACTATCAAAACCAGTTCCGTTGAAAAGAATACAAGTGCGTAGCCCTCAAGAAGCTTTTATATAGACTGCTGAGTATTCAATGACTTTCAAACGTTTAACTGAACTCGCTCTTAATAAACTTCCTTGTCCTCGGCCCTGCATAAAACAAAAAGTAAATGTTACCAATCCGTTTTTGACATTTATCAACGAGGTGTCTGCATTATATGGTAAGTAAAGATAGAAGATAAATAAATTTGCCTTTGGTGTGTATTTTAATATTTTGCATACTTGTGGAATCGAAAAATAATTACATGTATGATAATAATTAGTTGACCGTATTTTTACTATTTACAATGTGGTGAGCTTATTACATATATGTTCCTTCATATGCATTAATTTTATGTACAGTGTACTTATTCAAAAAATAACCAACACCATATCATCACTTTATACCTGTACAGACTCTAGCTACGTATAATAAACATGCAGTTGCCTTTTTTGTCTTGCTGAAATGCACATTTCCTTTTTCAGTTCAGTAAGGCTGTCTTAAACCTTTTATTTCCTTCACTACAGAAAAATGCTTTAAACTGTTTCTTCTAAATACCTTGAAAAACGAGCGTGCATGCCTTTTTGATAGATGTTCATGATTTAAAAAAAAAGGGGGATGGGTGAACATTGTAATCCGACTTTAACTTCGATTTTGTGATAATTAACGACAAAGATTGGAGCTCAATAGCGACTTATTTCACCTAGTAAGTTGTCCCTAAGGTTGACAAAAAAGTGTTCTTATATACCACAGTTGCAAACCTTTGTTTTCCTCATATGGTCATTGTTATTATTGCCGACGGTGGTTTTTACGACCTGTCCAATCTGTAAACAGTTAAATGAATAGCAATGTATGCTGGTTTACTGTTACTTTTCATTTTTACTTAAAACACATGGTGAAAGTCAATCCACAATGCAATATTAAGCGGATTTAAAGGAAAACAATTGAACACAATTTCATTGTTTTTTTAAGGAACAAAATAAAATAAAAAATTAAAATAAGGAACTTATACAGGAGTCATATTCTCTCACTGTGGTTTTTCCGTCTTAGATAGAGTATTGAAATACCCATCATAAAACCCTTCTCAAAACCAGGGAATCTACCTGACATCTGTATTCACTGATAGTACAACAAAGAAATGTAGATATAATGAAGTAGAAAAACTAGAATTATATGTTTATTTAACAGTTGTATATGAATCTGAGCATGGGAATAGTAAAAAATAATTTTCATCTGTGAAATGTACGTATAAAAACAAAATGCTTGTGTTTTTTTCGTGATCGAGTACATAATTTTGTACAATTCCTGTAATAGTTTTAGTTACCAATTATGCAGTTCAACTGGGGTGATTTTTTTCTGTTTATGTCACGCTGGAAACTCATTAACTAGTAGCAGGTAAATTTATTCTGATGTCAGAAAATACAGTTTCTTATTCAAGCATGTTTGTCGAAAAAGAAAATCAAATACATAACTGCAAAAGCTGCAATAAAAATAGCTGATTGAAGAAAGTTTAAATGAATACTAAAGAGAAAAAGACATTTCCACTGATTTACCTAGTCCATGGACAGTCTCGCTGTAGTCTCATTAGCTCTACTGGTCAAAGACCAGGCCCCAGGATTATGAAACAGCCTTAGACTTAAGTCAAATTTTCAATCAGCTGTAAAATGTTTATTAATTATTGAATCAATCTCTAAATTTCCAGAGAGCAACATTTTCGTCAAGCAATATTGAAAAATATTTTAATTTTGGTCTGCTTGACATCTATAACATTTAAATACAACTGAAAGATTTTGACTTAAGCTTAAAATGTTTCATGATCCCGGGGCCAGAGGAGCTTATGCGGTAGTAAGGTGTCCGTCCGTCCGTCCATCTTTCTGTCCGTCTGTCTGTAAACAACTTTTCAAAACGCTACTCCTCCTAGTTTTCGGTCTGATTTCAGTATATAATTAACTTGGCACACAAGTACAACTTCTGTAAGATACATAATTTAGTGCATCGGTTTTTGATTTTGATGAACGGTGTCGCCATGGTTACTAAAATAGATTTTTTTGAAATTCTTTCAAAACGCTACTCCTCCTACAGGTTTTAGTCCAATTTTAATAAGATGTTTTACACAAGTAGACAACATATAGATGTATTGTTCCATTTTTTGTTTATTAATGATGATGAAAGATGTTGCCATGGTTACCAAAAAAAAATTGTTTTAAATGCTACTCCTACTAAAGTTTAAGTCTTATTATGATTTTTATGTAGGTACACTTCACTAAAATATATCTTTCTTTATTATAAGTACACACCAGTAGAGCTTCAGTCTCGTCAGAGACTTCTGGCTTTATCTAGTAAGAGCTACATCTACTTCGATCTCCTCGGGCGGTATTATTATTTGAACACAGAAATAAAAACATTCTTATACATTTCAAGGGATTAATCTGATCCTGATAAATTTCGGTCGATATCTAGTGCGTTATGTAATAAAAAGGTTTTCTTTTTCCCCTAACAAAATATGAGTCGCTATCATTCTTAAGTATTGTCCTTTTTTGTGTTAAACCAGCATACGTCTTTTATCTGTCTATCTAACTTGATGTCAGCCATGTACTGTTATACCTCTATACTGATTTTTTCACTTCCTGAAAACCACGGTTCCTGATACTCAATGATTTTTTTTATCCATTTATGATGCAACATTTGTTGTTGAAATCAAATGACCGTAAATTAATAATTGAAAACGTCCAAGAGTGTTTTCAACACACACGTAAAAAAATTGTTAAAAAACAGAGCCATTATAATCGAATCTGAATATTCCGAATTTCATTCCTCTTTTGATCTCTATTTTTTTTTTTAGGTCCCTTAAATTTCGAAAAAAAAAAATGATGGTCACCTGTATTATTTTGCCCGTTAATTGAAGAGTTTGGATGAAGATACTCAACTAAATAAGTTCGATTTTAAAGCAATATGTATATGAAATAACTATTTTGTAAAAAAAAAAAAAAAAAAAAAAAAAAAAAAAAAAAAAAAAAAAAAAAGCTTCGAATTTCAAATGTAGAAATGTTACCATTTCGTTTTGTTTTAAGTTTATCCAAAAATTGATATGTAGCTAAACTTCGAAATCTCGAACACGAATATCTCGAATCGAATACCCCGGATATGTCGAAGTAAAGCCGCGGTCCCGACAAAATCTGCTCTATAAATGATTAAAATAAATCCCTTTATGTCGAACAGAGTAATATCGAATACCCCGGTTATCTCGAAGTAAAATTGTGTATCCATTCATTCAAATCACATGCGTCATCTCGAAGTCACGATAATTTTCCGCTCTGATTATCAAGTCGTTAGGTAAACTGAATGCTCTACTGATAACACCCACCTGTCTGTCACGCACGGGTTACCTGTGTTCCGTGATCAACAGATAATAGCGATATAATTATTCGAGGTGTATGTATGGCTTTATTACCTTGAATTAAATTATGCAAGCGTTGTGTGTATAAGGCTAATGCATACGCGTGGATGACACGTGAATTGTTTTTGTGGCTGGGGTACGTTAATCTTTATAATAGCTATTTTATGCTATGTGTAATATACGCTCTTGCTTAGTTTACATTGTATGCGTATCAAAGTGAAAACTATTAACGTCAAAGTGAAACAAAATTCCGTAATTTAATGCAATTAAAATTTATTTTTCCTGTGTAAGAGCGCGCAGAATTTACAATTGTTAAAACGCACATCATGTTAGCGTGTGTTTGAAATTCGTATTAACGTCAAAGTGAAACAACATTCCGTAATTTAATACATTTAAAATTTATTTTTCCTATGTAAGAGCGTGCAGAATTTACAATTGTTAGAACGCATATCATGTGAGCGTGTGTTGCAGTGAAAACTTGTGCTATAGTGCCATGCGATTCCGTGTTGCTCTGTAGTAAGAAAAAAGTGACTGTTCTTCTTTTGCATTTGATTTTATAATGATAAAATATTTTTTTGTTTTCACTGATTATACATGTATGACCATCTTTTTACAATTTAAAAAAAATGTATATTTCGTTTACGTTATTCTGAAAGCGACCGGTTTCAAATTTACAATGCATAGACGAGATCCGGTTATGTATACATTAGAAAGGATGCTAGAGGTTGGCAATCGGCAATCCTCGGCTGATTCCGCTACGCTCCATACAAATTATGCGAGGTACGAGCCACCCGAGGAGCTCCGAGTGAGCGGTTGGTATCCGTGCATACTATACAAAGTTTTTATTTTGTGAATTTTAAAGGGGAGGTCAAAATCTTTTTATTGCTAAATACATGCACGTGTATATTAAAGAAATCTTAATACAGAATTTCAAACAAGGAGGAGTTTGTGGTGTTATTACTATAAAGTACACGTTCAATACGCGAAGTTTATTTGAAGTCCATTTGAATTATAACCCTCGATATGTCGAACCCATGGATATCCCGAAGTTCATCAATGGTCCGTTCAACTTCGAGATAACGAAGTTTAACTGTATCAAATGTTAAAACAAAATTTTCATTCCAGGAATCTCTATAGAATTGTAAAAGTCAGTGTACTGAATTTCAATCGAAATGGGCATGCATTAATCCTAAATCTTTTGAAAAGAAAAAAATCTCTCTTTTTTTTCAATAAATAATATGTGATGAAATCCTGAGATTCTACTGGATATACTCGTACTATTAAAGTCCTTGATTTTAAACTAAAAACGTCCAGCGTCTCGTTTATCTGAATTGAGGATTCATTTGTTTATGCCATATTTAGGCATTTGTTATTTTTTTAGGGTGGAGATGTTGATTCTAAGCTTTGTCCAGTTTCTCTTGTGTGTGACATCTGCTTGTGGCGTTGGTAAGTTAATGAAAGATTAGGAAAAAACAGGCCTGGAATACATTGCATGTTTCTTATTTTATATTATTCACAGGTAATGTATCAAAAGCCACGTATTAGTCAATCCTTTAGATATTCAAAATGTTGCTTTGGTGGTTTTCAGCATGATATAATGTCAATGTAGCACATGTACAAACATAATTACATTAAGAGTTTTCTGTAATAAATTTTCGAATATTTTTCATTGAAATATTTTAAAAGACTGTGTTGAGTTTTGTGCAGGAGACACTCTACAGAGTTATCTAAAACTGCATGAATAGTAGCTGATCCAGCGATAAAGGAGTTAAGAAGGGAGTCAGGACACCACTTAAAACTTTGCCAAATACGCATGGCATCCTGAAGGGCTTAAGGAAGTGCAATACACTAATTATTTACTAACAGTTTAATGCTACTATAACAGTGTTTAGTTATTCATTATACAAAGTTGAAAATTGTAAATGTAAAAATAAAAAAAAATAATTATGTAATTTCATATGTGAGGGTAGATGTAATCCTTCTTTAGCAAGACAATTCTCTTGATAAGATTTAGCGAGACCCAATCTACTTGAAATATGCATACGTTTTCACGAAGCGTTGTTTCAGACGTGTCACGTGCACAGTAGCATTAATTGCCGTCAGAATTGAGTACAATAACCTCACAGTTCAAATGACGTCAAATACGCTAAAGTTTATTGCGATTCTTGCATAGGAGTAAAAAGCTTTATTTTTTTTCTGCCATTTATATCTACATGTATTATTATAATTTATTACATTTTCAACAGTGAAATACTGTAATTTATTTATTGAATAAAAGTGATATTCTCACACAGTGTGAAAGGATATCAAAATGGTATTCTCACAGTGTGAGAATATCAGAAGTACGGCAAAACTCTCCACTAGTGAGACAAGTTTTTTTTTTATATTTTCACTCGTGCTTCACACTCGTGAAAATATTTAAAAAAATCCTGTCCCATTCGTGAAATAAATTCCATATTTATCTACAAAACATAGACTATCCTCTATAGATAAATGTCGGATTCGATGCCTTCCGTAAATAATCTTATGCCCTGTTCACACGAATGCGCATTAAAAATTTCATTCGCAATAAATTTATTCGAAGTAAAATAATGAGAATTAAACTAATACGATTTAAATTGCGTTCACACGACAGCTAATGCGAAGTGAACTAATGCGCATTAGAAATTTGTTTCAACAGTAAGGCAATTATGACGTCATTTGTAAATCACGTCATCTGCAGAGCAGATGTACATTTGACACAATGTCTTAGCGTCTGTACACATTTTTAGCAATAAACTTGATTTTCCTTTGTTTTTATTTAAAAATAGCATAAGTACGTAAATCTGACCACCGCCATATGGCATGTGGTTTAATTTTGCTATTACGCATGCGTCAGAATTTAATTCGAATTAGCTTCGCTTGGCGTTCACAAGGAATTAATGCGAAGTACTTTGATGCGCAGTAAATTAATTCGAATTAAACTAATTCGCATTAAATTTTCCGTGTGAACGTGTTCAAATGAACAGGACACAAACTGTGTAAACATTGATATTTGTAAAAAAAATTCATAAATCGATTGCATATTATTAAAAAGTCTACCTCGAATAGGCGAAAAATCAGAACATTCTGAAAGAAACTGACTTTTAGTTAATGGACATGAGTAATTTTTAGATGGCCAATGCGTGTTCTTGAAATAATAATTTCATCCTGACGTTTCAGGTCGAAGTCTGAACTTTTATTAACTCTGTTTTCTACAGAATATTTTTTTTGTATCACAAATATTCCAGAAAATTTGCCAAAGAGAATAAAGGATAAAGTTTTACAAAATATATCAGATCTGCAGAAGGAATTTCAAAACGTGTAATTTGATACTGAAATGCTATTTTTGTAGCATTATGGGCCTTAGTGTTTCCAGGGATACCAATATGACTTGGAATCTAAAACAAGTCAATTGTTTTACCTTGTTGATTGAAAGGATAGCACTGGCTTAAGATGTATGGGTCACTAATGTTCATATTTTTTATGGATTTTAAACAAGAGAGCGATTTCGAAAATATTGTATAAAAATGTGAATACATGTTGAAGATTAAAAATATTCGAATGGAAGTGGAAGTGGTATATTGCTTTTGCTTCTGCTGTGAAAATTGTTGCTTCATTCGAAAGCTGTGAAAATGCCTTTTTAATCACTGCAGCCGATGCAACTTTATTTTTGTCTTTTGAACTATTTGTATAAATTTTTTATAATGTTTTTCTCGACTAATTTCTGTTTGAAAATGAGAGAATTTAATTGTCTTTGATTTCTTCAATTCCGTTAAAGATGTATCTACACTTGGTTTAATTAATTTACATGGTGCTATCTCAGAGTACGTTGAGTGTTTAATTAATGTCAAAAGGTAGGTCAGGGTCCCGGGTGTGTTTTCTAGATCTTAAACCAATGGGTTTTATACATGTTTTACTTTCATCATATACATCTTCACTCTGCGGATGACAAACACAATCAAATGCAGCGTTTTCAGTATTAGTTTTTACTTTCAGTATATACTCTAAGGTGAATTTAATTCTTCTTAAGGGCAGATGATATAAGCAAAAAATTGATTCCTGGATTGGTATATATTTTTAGACCTATTTTGCTTGTAAATGGCACAAATAATAAATTGCAGTTTCTTTCTATTACAGCTGTATGTTAAAAATTCTACGTTTCTGTAACCCTCCTTATTAATCTATACAACTTTTTGTCACTTTAAATCTCATTATTGTGAAACTTTTGATGAAAAATTAAAAACTATGCGGTTAAACTTACTCATTTTACTTACATAAACATGTCTTTAGTTGTTATTGTCAAGATATTTGATAAAAATTTGTTTGTATCACCTGTCCTAAAGTCGAGAAGTGGTTCATTTGCTTGACTGAATAAATTACTAATGACATTTATTATCGTTGTTGTTTACCGAAAACGAAAGTAGACTTAATCATTACTACATGTGTATGCCAGTGAAATTTAAGTACATTTTATGAAGAATATCTGTTACCTAGGGTAATAATAGAGGAGTAAGTATGAGTTCTTGTGCAGGCGTTTCGGAGTTTATCTGCAAATTTCATTAATTTATAATTACGAGTATACATATTATTTCTTTTATCAGATGACTTTTGATTCTGAATTTTCAGAGAATGCAGAACAGATTGCCTTTTTCCGTATCTTGTATCTTTCCACTTCTGTTCTTAAAAGATTTTTATGTATCTTTATACTAATTGCAACGTTGAAATATTTGCTACTATCATGACTAACAACTAAGGCGTTTTGACTAGTGATTCCTTTTCTTGCATATTTTTATGTTTTAGTTGTAATTGAAAAAGGGGTTCCAGACTATTGCAATTTTTGTAGGTCATACATGTAATAGCCAGGAATCTGAAATGTTATACATGTATTTAAAGTACATGAATTTATATTTGTTTTTGTTTAATCCTCAACACCTTTCATGAAATAAGCCCAATTTCGATATTCATAAAAATTTTTAAATTTTCACTGGAATTGTATTTATTGGTTTGAGGGTGAAATGGCAATTTTCACTTTCAGATAAACTTAACATTTCAGCATTGTTCACGTCACAATTTGGCAACTTATAAATTATATGGCTTTAAACTTCATTTTCTGTAAATGTACAACTTAATAAAATTCAGTTCTTCTCTCCTAGTCGCAGTGGTTAGAGCGTTTGCTCTAGATTCACGGAGTAAGGAGTTGATCCTTACCTCGCGGTTTCGAATCCCACTTTGGGACGTGGAGACCGGTCCTTCGGATGAGACTGTATTTATAAACCGAGGTCCCGTGTCGCAGTAGGTGCTGGCACGAAAAAGATCCCTAACTGCTCAATTGCCCTGAGTGCCGAGTATATGTCAAAATTTTCAGCTCTTCACTGGCAAGTGGTGGCGTCTCCATATGAGCGAGGAACGTTAAACAACATTAAACAAACAATCTTCTCTCCTAACACAAGTTCCTTTAACCTCACATAACACGGGATCTTTTTCAATAAGTGTCTTTTTGCAATATTTATTGTCAAATAATGTGCGTATTATTTATTTTATAGGAAATTTAGCATTACAGAGACCTGCTTGGCAGGAGTATAATTTTACCGATAAACCTATAAAATGGGGTGCCTCAAAGGCGGTGGATGGGCTGTTTGCCAACCGTGGAGCTAATGGAAACCAATGCACGATCTCGGGAAACGAACAGCGTACTGCGACATGGTGGGTGAATCTACAGAGTGTGGTCAGCATTAGTTATGTCAAAATCTACTACAGAACTGATAATTTTCCAAGTATGTATAATATATTCTTCGAATTATTTTGTGTTCGTTGGACATCAGAAGGAGTCATATCTTCTGGGGCTCCAGTTTAAATTTTAAAACTTCATATACTGTATGCAATGTCATTTTTGCCTAGTGTTATTTTCACCCTATCGTACCTCTAAACGACAAAGGATGTTAGAGAAATAACTCCGTTGTTCTTTAAATTCTCCCCGTTGTAAATTCCCTCAAACTGCGACGAGGGCGAAAATAAAACTTTTCTATATATCTCCTTAGGAAATGTGCAGCCCGAACATTTCATACTTCTCACCAAAAACTGTGTTTCGCTCATGTTATTGTTTATGCTCATTCAAAAGCGAGAGGACAAAACAGTATTCGACAAACTTCCCAAAACTATAAAACTGTCATTTTATTGTGTGTGCACACTAAAACGTTTAACTCCAATCCCTTATTTGTATTAAAATAATGAATTCTATAGATACATGTAATAGTTGAAGGCTATGGTACGAGGATTCATTCATCATATTCATTGCAAGAAAAAAATACAAATCTGACTCAGATGGATACTATGGCCTATGTACCTCTTGATTTTATATCATTGTAGGTCCTAGCGTATACGTTAGTCGATTTGCAGGGTTTTTCCTATATGTTTCCAACACGACCGCAAAAGAAAATGGTCATCTATGCTTCCATGAGATACAGAATATCAGTGGTACACCTATAGAAGATCAAAGGATAAACTGTTCTGTTTATGGACAATATGTTATATACTACAATGAAAGGAAAGCTAATGTGACGTATCCTAGCTACTACTCTAAAAAAGCATATAATGAATTATGTGAATTGGAGGTTTATGGTGAGCTGAATTATATATATTCATGTATATCTTGCATGTTTATAATAAAATACAGCTTTTGTGATTCCTTTTTGAATGTTGCGTTCTGCATGTTGGTAGATAATTAAGTTTATAAGATAACTATACTAATTCAGATACACCAAGAGCCAAAATTTATACACATAGAATATATAAAATAGGTTGCCCTGTTCCTGGAAAATATGGAGTACATTGTAATCAATCATGTTCAGAGAACTGTCAGGGACTGCAATGTGATGCTGTTACTGGAAACTGTCTGAATGGCTGTTATCCAGGATATCAAGGCCCCCACTGTAGTTATTGTAAGTCATTCCCTGTGATCTAGTATTCTCAATTTTCTATAAATATATTATGATCACTGAGTTGTGAAGGATAGAATGATAATTATGCAATTTAATTTCAAAATAAAACACGTACGGCATATCTTAATTATTTCTAATTCATTTAATAATGAACATTCATTCACTAGTAAATTTAGCATTGCGGAGACCTGCCTGGCAGGCAAATGAGTATTCGCAAACTTGGAATGCTGCCAAGGCAGTGGATGGACAATATTCTGACCGGTCAGCAGATGGAAACCAGTGCACAATATCAGCAGACAGGAAACAAACAGCTACGTGGGGAGTGGATCTAGGTAGTGTCGTCAGCATCAGTTATATCAACATCTACTACAGAACAGAGAATAAACCTAGTAAGCGTGCCATCTGTCTAGTATTCCCAGCTAGCAAAAAAACATTTTTAAAATGTTTTTAAAACATTTTCAAAATGGTACGAAAACATTTTCAAAAAATGTTTTAATCACGTGATTTTGTATGGTTTTTAAACGTTTTTAAAACATTTTAGCAAAATATTTCAGCAAATGGTATCAGAACATTTTCTTAAAATGTTACAAAAACATTTTTCGAAGATGTTTTATTCACGTGATTTTGTATGGTTTTTAAAACATTTTGCAAAATGTTTCAGTAAATGTTGTTAGAACATTTTCTTAAAATGTAACAAAAAGATTTTCAAAAATGTGTCATTCACGTGATTTTGTATGGTTTTTAAAACGTTTTTAAAACATTTAAGCCAAATATTGCAAAAATATTTTTCCTAAATTGTTACTTAAAATTTTCGTTTGTATGATTTTTAAACTTGATGTGCTTTTAGCATGTTTGATATGTTTCATCATTAATTAACTTTCAAAGAATGAAACAGAAAAATTCAAATGAATGAATTTTTTTTTAATTTTAATACAAACTCATATTCAATATGTAAATCACATTTAAGTTCCATTTCCGGTACAAGTTTTGACTTATTTTGTTTTAACCCACCAGGTTTTTTTTTTGTTTTTTTTTGTTTTTGTTTTTTTTTGTATTTTTTTTTTTAAGGGAAAAAAAAACCTTATCCAATCCATTCACTTAATTCACTAAAAGAACAAATTCCCGGAAATCCTTTCTACTGGCAGAATAAACAGGCCTTCGTTTAGGTCACTGTTTATTTACAATTCTACAAAAAGCATGTATTTACATCTGTTCACTGCAGGTTCAACAGAGCGGCGGATCTATTATTTAGAATCACACACACTGAAAAGGCTCACAAGGAACCTGTCCTCGAAAAGAAGCTCTTGCATGTTTTGTAAAGCGCAGCCTGTAAATATAGAGAAAATACATTTTAATCATCGGTCTACAATATATATATATATATATCTTTAAATGATGAAAATATACAAGAATTATATATTTTAAATAATAAAAGCACAAGTACTTTCCCCATTTGCATTAATGAAAAGAATTAGATCAATCACTATAAAAATAATATTGTTGAAGAGTAATATTATTTAAGTACACAAATGTTCCCTTCACCAAAGACGGGTCTTTTGAATGTGGCAATTTAAATGAAATTCAAATATCTTGATCCTGTTGATGGAACTGACAAAGCAATTTCATTTTTTGATAATCATTTTATATGATGATTCACATTAAACATAAATTTGATGCCTTAAATAAGTATTCAATTCAAATACCTATAAGGCTTTGTCTTTGCTACACATATGCATACAAAAATACAATCATGTACTGGTAGTAGAAAAAGTCATTTTAAAAAAATGATCTTTTTAAGTCTATGATAGAGGAATTATACTCACCAATCAGAGTTAATAATCCAGCGCTTATATGATCTAAAGTCTTTTCTTTCAAATCGGCAACAAGAAAACGCGCAAATCTTGTTTACCAGAATTCAAATTTTGGCCTAGATAAGCTACAAACCACTATACTCTGTAACGCGCTGCCCAGCAGGAAAAAAGCATAACAAGGTTACCATGTCACTGAAACTGACCAGTGTGCCAATCCTAATCTAATGCTTTAGAGTTAAATTTTGGGAGTGGATCACAAATATGACGACAAGATTTTAAAAAGGCTGTGTTATTGTTAACAGTGTTCTTATTTATTTAATTAATTATTTATTTGTTTATTTATGCTTTTATTTATTTGTTTTTTATTCATTCATTCATTCATTTATTTTTTAAAGTATCTTTTGTTTCTTCAGTGAACCTTGTACCTGCCTGTTAATTCAATAAGAATTAAAAGGAATTCTGAAGAAGAAAAAAGAAAATTACCGGGATAATGCTTTCGAGTTAAAAAAAAAAATACAATTCCTCATTTCAACACTATCTTTTCTGGATATTCTAAATATTTTTCACATCGAGGTCATAAATGATTTGAATGTTTTACGAACACTTTGAAAGTAATTAACATTACAAAATGTTGCAGCAATGGTAAATGAAATCTGAGTCTATAAAAAGAAAACATTCAATTAAATGTTCTGAAAACATTCTTACAATATACGCTGAAAATTACAAATTGATTAATGTCGACAATGATATGCCAATGTTTTAAAAACATTTTTAAAATGTTTCCAAAAAATGTTGCACAAATTAAAAATAAAATGTTTCAGTTGTAGGAAGAGAAAACATTTTCTTAAATGTTTAAAAACATTTTCACAACCTAGACTGAAAATACTTAAATATTTAACTATTAGCAATATTAAGAATGTTTTTAAAACATTTTGACAATGTTCCTTCAAAATGTTTCAGAAACGTTATATACATTGTTTCAGATTCATAGAAAAGTAATGTTTTATTTCACGTTTTTAAAACGTTTTTAAAACGTAATATGAAAATCTTTAAAATCTGCTAACTAGACATACCTTCGGAATCATTTTTAAAACGTTTCAAAAATATTTTATTGAAATGTTCCTGAAAGGTTTTATCAAAAGCTTCCTGAAAACATTTTAAAAATGTATTTAAAATGTTACAATGAGAATAGAAAATGTTTTAAAAACATTTTTAAAATGTTTACTCTGAAATGTTTTGAAAAAACCTTTTTACAACATTAATAAAATGTTTTGAAAATGTTTAGTGCTACCTGGATTGCTACTTGTCAAGTTGTTAATAGTACAAGCCAGTAATGTATATTTTAATGTATGGCATACTTCCTCATATATTGAGAAATAATTGCAATGCGATTTATTTGTCGTTTAAGAGGGCTGGGTGGCTGTGGCCATTTTCAGACTATATTGATCTCCTTTAGAAGAAGAGCTCCATATAAAGATATACAAAAATGATCAAATTTTAAAACTAAAATGTATGAAATTTTTGTTTGCCAAATGATAGTTGACAGCTTAAGATATATCTAAAAAATTAAGTTATATCTGATGGTTAATTTGTTGACCCCCCAGCCTCCTTAATTCATAAAAGAGGCATCTGCCTAGGACTCGTAATCTAACAAAAGGATGCTTCAAGATTGTTTATATAAAATCATCGGTTTTTGTTTGTTTGTTTTCTTTTGTTTCGTTTTTGTTTTTGTTTTTTTTTTTTGTAAATGGTCTACCCCAAAATAAGATTTATATCCTTAGGAAAAATCCTTGTAAAGGATATTTCAAATTTCTATAAACCAATGCTCTTTGGACCAAGTGGAGATTTTTTGGTGATCTCCTTGTGTGAGAAGGAAATGGAAGATATTGTATTTGTATGTAAGAAGAACAAAACATGCATTATAACATTCATAAAAGGGAAGGATATTTGAGCAGTTTTTCTTTAAATGTTATACATTGTATTGCAGAGTGAATATCCTCATGTTCTTGAATTAAGGAAGAGGAAAATAATAATTTTTCCTTTTCAGGTCTGAACTTTTTATTATACATTTGAGTTCACTGTATCAAGTTAATGATTATTACTTCGATATTTTATTTCTCGAAATAATTTTATTTTGTAAAGTGAAAGTTAATGAAATAACTGTCAGTACAATGACGAAAACCGATAAAAACCTCAACTAATTTACTTCTGTTAAATAACAATTTGTTAAAAAAAAAAACTTTAAAATTGATAACTTATCAAACATTACAAATGATTTCCATTTTTAGCTCACCTCAGTCGAAGTCTCAAGTATTGATTTGTTCTAATCATGACCCCTGGGGAAGGGAGGGACAGCAAGGGGCGATCAAAGTTTTACATAGGAATATATAGGAAATATCTTCAGAAATTTTCTTCTCAAGAACAGCAAATCCGTGATAAGTCATTAATTTAGTAGCATCCTTGGGTAGTGTAGTTTCACATGTTCCCCGAGGTTAGGGCGGGGTCACTATAGAAGATCAAACGTATAGAAAAAAACTTGAAAAATCTTCTAAAGCCATGATTAGTCATAAAAATATGGAAGCATCCTCAATAAGTGTGGATTCAAGTGTGAACAAATCATGCCCCCCCTCCCCCCTTCTGGGGGGGATGCGAGCACGTGTATGTTTATTTTTTTCAATACTCAACTGAACTGATTTTTGGTTCTTCCTGGGCAATGTGCTCAGGTGTGGGATGAGGCTCAAAGGCCTCTTGTTTTTTTCAATGTCATAACATTTGCTATATTGATGTTTCCATAAGATATATGAAATATAAATGCTAGAGGTTTTAATGAGTTTGTTTTAAAATAAAAACCAGGATTTCATATACTGAATCTCCTTCTAGCTTAAGTTGTTACTTTCATTTTTATATTGATCACGCTAAACACTCATTATATACAGCATAAGAAAATACAGTATATAATAGGTGTTTCTGTAATCTCTGTTTTAGAAGGAAGTGCATGTAAACAGATGTATCTTTTTATAGGTAAATCACAAAGATACAACAATTTGATTTTTACGAAAAGAAAATTACAGCACGCTGAATCGAAGACTAATATTAAAAGCATATCAAAACTGCAATTATGAACAAAACCAACAACATCCATATTATCCATATGGATAATTGGATTGGTTTCAGAAGTGGTCCAATAACAATGGTTATAATCAACGATTTGTTTTCTTTTTAAATTTCAATTAGGTCCTGGTAGATTCTACAACCGATTTGCTGGATTTTTCGTTTACGTTTCGAACGATACATCTAAGGATAATGGTAGCTTGTGTTTTCACAAATTGCAACAAGTGGACCATACACCAAAAGAGAACCAGACAATTATCTGTCCATTTGACGGAAGATATATCATATACTACAATGAACGTGGGAAAACTGGTGTTACCTATCCTGGATACTATTCTCAATATGCATTCAATGAATTGTGTGAATTGGAAGTTTATGGTGAGTTGTAAAATTGTTTGTTTTTGTTTATACTAAAATTGTGCTATTTTTTCAACCACCATGATTAGATTTGAAATAATTTTCATGTCTTTAAACAGGATGCCCTGATTCTAGATATTACGGAAAATACTGTGACCAACTTTGTCCAAACAATTGTCTTGGACAGAGGTGTAATATATCAACAGGGAACTGTCTGGGATGTAAACCGGGATATAAAGGACCTCGCTGTAGTCAGGGTAAGTAAAGCACAGAGAGAGGAAAGAAGTAAATCAATAATCTAAGGGTTTGACAACAAAGCTGATAACAATTCATTTTCGTAGTATTTCTTTTAAAACATTAACTCATGACTCAACTCTTCTGTTTTATAAAAAATGTACTAGGTTAAGCTTTTTGTTACAATAGATTTCAGTGTTCAGTATCGTTCCCACTAGCGAAATATGATATAAAAAGCAATAACAATAAATTGCAATTGCTTTCAATGCATGGATTGATATTTAATAAACACGCTTCTTATATATAGACAGTACAATTTAATATATCATAATTATCTTAAAGAATGTGAGGGTGGAATGTACGGAAGTGATTGCAGTAAGACGTGTGGTCAATGTCTCGGTAACACACAGTGTCACCATATAAACGGTACATGTGAAGAAGGATGTTCCGAAGGATATGAGGGATCTCTTTGTATGAAAAGTAAGAAATATTACAAACGTAAGCGAACCTGCAAATTGATACTCATGTAAATTGGATAAGTATACGTATATACACTTAACTCTTACAATTCATTTAGTTCATTCTTAAAAAAATGGCAATTGTATCTGGCATTGAGTGAAATACATGTAAATGTAATGATATCTGTGCATATTCTTTAACTCTTTGTATGGAAACAAACAAAATAACAAAAAAGACTTATAGGAGTATTGATATACTTTTAAAGAATGTTACATTTTAAAATTTGGCTTGAAATGCAAGAGAATCTGTGGATACTGTCGTGATGGATCACCCTGTAACCATATAGAAGGTACATGTCTTCTATGATAGACATGTACAGGATCCCATGTATCTCCTGGATATATGGGATCCCTCTGTGACAGTTGTTAGTAATTCTTTATTTATAAACAATTCATTGCCACTTTCTGACATTAATAAAGCTATGTTTGTCATACAAATAGAAAGTAAAATATAATCTATATATTGTCTATTTTGTGAAAGATGAATGGAATCACGTGTTTGAAAAAAAAGACACAAATAAAGATATTTTCATATTGTGTTTTTTTCTGATTATATCTAAGAATGTGACGGTGGAATGTATGGTGCTAACTGCAGCCGAACCTGTGGTCATTGTCTTAATGATACACAGTGCCACCATATTAACGGTACTTGTTTACAAGGATGTTCCACTGGCTACAAAGGATTTCCTTGTACTGAAGGTAAATAGGTACAATTAAATCCTACATCTGTATTCAGAAACGAAAATATAAAAAATCATTTTGTTACTGATTTTCTAAAAGTCCTTTTTTTCATTAATTTTTTTTAGCTCAACTGGTCAGAGACCAGAAGAGCTTATGCGATAGTTAGGTATCTGTCGTCCGTCTGTCTGTCTGTCAGTATGTAAACAATTTTTCAAAAATGCTTCTCTTCCTACAGTTTCTGTCTGATTTCAGTATAACTTGGCACACAAATAAACTACACTTAGATACCTAAATGTCTTTTTCGGTTTTTGATTTCGATGAACGATGACCAAATGATTACTAAAAATAAAATTGATGTGAAATTTTCTGAAATTCATATTCTATTCCTCCTAAAGTTTTGGTCTGGTATCAATATATAACTTGGCACACAAATTGACTACACTTCGAATTTCGATTTCGGTGAACGGTGTTTCCGTGGTTACAAAACCAGAATTTTGGTGAAATATTTTTAAAATGTTATTCCTCCTACAGTTTTGGTCTGATATCAATATAACTTGGCCACAGGTAGAATATACTAGGTACAATATTCTGTTTTTTTTTTTTTTAAATTTCGATAAGCGGGTTGCTATGGTTACCATAAACAGAAAAAACCACGTACGCTAACTCTCGATTCCCGCCTACATTTTACACCCATTTAATTCAATACTAATGGCAATTTGGCCAAGAAATCTTTGTTGAATGCAAAGAAAATTCAATGGTAATTGATTAATAATTTTAATACCAGTGTTAAATAGTTAAAATTACTCTTAATTTCAGGTCTTTTTATAAGGGGGTAGACGATGTTTTCCATTGAAATAAGGCTTGAAAACATCGGCATATTTTAAAATATTCTTGGATATGGATAAATGTTCTTAAAATCTTTTCTTATGTATTACATATATATATATATAATTAAACATATGTAATTGATTAAATACAACGTTTAAGTTGTAAACTCTTGCGAAATTGGTGAAAAAATGAGCATTTTTGTCGTTTGTCTGTAAACATATGCCCTCCTCCCCCACCCTCCACCCCCAGTGAAACATAAGAAGCTTTGGTATGAATTTGTGAAATAACAATCCATATTACCTGTAAAAAGATTTTTTGTTTCACGGGGGGGGGGGGATGTTTTAAAAATATTTTCCGTTTTCCATTGATTTCTGTAGTGAAAAACACAAGTTCTACCAAAATTATAGAGTTATCTCTCTTTGTTTTCCCAAATAAGTAATGTTTATGAAAATTCATTGAAATATCTATATGAATATGAAAAATCATTCAAATATTTTAACATTTGAAAATTGACTTGGAGGTAGGTGGGAGAACAATACTATCGTTCGCAGTTCTTTCTGTGAAACGCTCCGTGATTGGGAGGTCATGAGTTCGAATCTCGGCCGCGACTGACCTAAGTCGATAAAAAATGGGTAGCAACTGTTCCTTCGCCTTGCGCTCGGCACTTTGAAGTGAAAGTTGCGGGTCCTTCGGATGAGACCTTAAAAACCGAGGCCCCGTGTCACGGCAGGCGTTGGCACGATAAAGACTCCTCACTGCTCAATGGCCCTAAGTGCCGAGTAAAGGTCAAAATTTGAAGCCCTTCACCGGTATATGGTGACGTCTCTATATGAGTGAAAAATTCTCGAATAGGATGTAAAACAATATACAATCAATCAATCAATCAATCTTTCTGTGAAATGCTTTCAAAACGCTACTTCTCCTACAGTTTTGGTCTGATTTAGGGAATAAGTACCTTCTCATTTGTGATTTGCCACCAGTAATGCTTGTTTAACGGTTGCAAATTAAGAAATAAAAATGAGAAGATAGTTATTCCCAATCGAATGCAATTTATGCTTGTTGTTTATGTATTCGTCTTATTTTGTCACAATTTGTTATATGAAATACGTCGTAACGGGTCATGTTTTTGCGTTGTTCTATTATGGCCTCACTATCACAAGCTTTCACACTCCTTAATAATTGTCTAAATACCTAAATCTTCAGTTCATTCGCCAATCAAAATGCGTTTTACAAAACAATTGCACTAGAATTCAATATAACTTGGCACTCAAATAGATTACACTCAGATACATGTACATAATTTTTTGACTTCGAGACTTAACAAAGGATCATATTCTATTTATTGCTGTTGCATAGTTTCAAATCCAAGACAGTGGTACTTTTCTCTTCCTTTGTTATAAGTATAAACAAGTAGAGCTACAGTCTTGTCAGAGACTTCTGGTTTTTCAGCAACATAGAGAGAAATAGATTTGCATAATATAGACATTGATGACCATTCCCTCAGAATTTTGTATAAAAAAATATTGTTTCATTATATGTTTTATGTAACATATTTTCTAAATTAATTGAGATGACGCTTAACTGAAATTTTTATAATCCAGAAAAGTTAAATATTGTCAGAATGTTTAGGGGAAAAAACCCAACAAGACATTTCGTCTAATGAGAAGATAAAAGTAAAAAAAAATTGCTTAAAGGAAAAGGGAAATAGAGGATATCCAATGTTTTGTAGTTGGATATAGAATTTATTTCACCGGTGGAATAGGATTTCCTGATATTTTAAAAGGTGCGAAGCAAGAGTGAAAATATAAAAAATTCCTGTCTTACGAAAACATTGAATTTTCTTTTCATATTGTACATTTTCCCTTTGCCTCTGTCTTTTCTTAACACAGTGGCACAGACTGTGACGTCATAGTTAAGCGGTTGAGACGTCATAGCTTAGCAATTGTGAGATTAAAAACGTTGTAACATGGATATTAGCAACATAAGTGGTAAAGAAGTGGGAGGAAATTAGCAGTTTTAGTCTCTATCAAGATGGTTTAGTTACACTCTCTTTGGACAGGCCAAAATTTAATTTTTACTGATTTTGATATCCTTTCACACTGTGACAGATTATCACTTTAATATCCTTTCACACTATGACAGAATATCACTTTTATTCGATGAATAAATTACACTATTTCACAGTTGAAAATGTAATAAATATCCCCATAAAAGTACAATTGGGACCTTCTTTGACTGGTAAGTTCATTTTTCAGTAAGTGATAATAACATACCGGAAGCTATTAAACCACTCTTTGTGACCTGTGTCAGGATCACATCGAATATTTACCCTGGGAGATAAAAGGACAATATATTTAAATATCATAAACTTTTTAATTATTTTTTTCAAGAATGTGATGGTGGAATGTATGGAGAAAACTGCAACCAAACCTGTGGTCATTGTCTTAATAATACACAGTGTCACTTTATTACTGGTACATGTTCAGTAGGATGTGCGGATGGTTACGAGGGTTCCCTCTGTTCAAAGGGTAAGGAGTCACCGAGTTCAAATCAACACAAAATGCGGTTATCGTTATAATAAATTTTTTAACTTTTCAAATGATAATATTTTCATTGCAGATATATATTTTGTGTGCTGTTTAAAAGTTGCGTTTAAACAAAAACAACAAATGCTTTTTAGCTCACCTGAGCTGAAAGCTCAAGTGAGCTTTTCTGATCACATTTTGTCCGGCGTCCGTCTGTCTGTCTGTAAACTTTTCACATTTTCGACTTCTTCTCAAGAACCACTGGGCCAATTTCAACCAAACTTGCCACAAAGTATCCTTGGGTAAAGGGGATTCAAGTTTGTTCAAATGAAGGGCCACGCCCTCTTTAAAGGGGAGATAATTAGGAATTAGTGAAAAAATAATGGCAACATTTAAAAATCTTCTTCTCAAGAACCATAGGGCCAGCAAAGATGAAACTCATGTTGAAGCATCCTCAGGTAGTGTAGATTCAAATTTGTTCAAATCATAACCCCCGGGGGTAGGGCAGGCCCACAATGGAGGATCAAAGTTTTACATAGAAATATATAGGAAAAATCTTTAAAAATCTTCTTCTCAAGAACAGCAAAGCCATGATGAGTCATATTTATAGGGAAGCATCCGCAGGTAGTGTAGATTCAAGTTTGTTCAAACCATGACCCGCGGGGGTAGGGCGGGCCACAATGGAGGATCAAAGTTTTACATAGAAATATTTAGGAAAAATCTTTAAAAATCTTCTCAAAAACAGCAAAGTCATGATGAGTCATATTTATATGGAAGCATCCTCAGATAGTGTAGATTCAAGTTTGTTCAAACCATGACCCCAGGGGGTAGGGCGGGGCCACAATGGAGGATCAAAGTTTTACATAGAAATATATAGGAAAAATCTTTAAAAATCTTCTCAAGAACAACAAAGTCATGATGAGTCATATTTATATGGAAGCATCCTCAGGTAGTGTAGATTCGAGTTTGTTCAAATCATGACCCCCGGGGGTAGGGCGTGGCCACATTGGAGGATTCAAAGTTGTACATAGAAATATATAGGAAAAATCTTCTTCTCAGGAACAGCAAAGCCCAGATTGTTCATATTTATATGGAAGCGTCCACAGGTAGTGTAGATTCAAATTTATTCAAATCATGACCCCCGGGGGTACGGCGGGGCCACAATGGAGGATCAAAGTTTTACGTAGAAATGTATAGGAAAAATTTTAAAAATCTTCTTCTCAGGAACAGCAAAGCCTTGATTGATCATATTTATGTGGAAGCATCCTCAGGTAGTGTAGATTCTACTTTGTTCAAATTATGACCCGCTTGGGTAGGATAGGGCCGCAATGGAGGATCAAAGTCTTAAATAGAAATATATAGGAATATATCCTCTTCTGAAGAACTGCAAACCATGATTAGTCATTTTGATATGGAAGCATCCTCAGGTTGTGTAGATTCAAGTTCAAATGATGACCCCTGGGATAGGGAGGAGCCACAATGGAGGATCAAATTTTTACAAACGAATATATGGGAAATTTTTTTTAAAATCTTCTCAAGTACAATAAAGCCATTTGTTGTATTGACATGGAAGCATCATCAGGTAGTTTAAAATTCAAGCCCCCCCCCCCCCCCCCCAGGTAATCTTTTCAATACTGAACTGATTTGTGCTTTTGTCTAGCCAGTGTGCTCAGGTGAGCGATGTGGCCCATGGGCCTCTTGTTTACGAACGCAAGAGAGTTCTGTGAAAAGGATATGTCATTTTCTCTTCGTAAGAATTTAGTTAAATATATATTGCGACTTTTTTTTTTACAGAATGTGGCCTCGGAAGATACGGATTTAAATGTTATCAAACTTGCGGTCATTGTGTCAATGATACAAATTGTGACCACGTCAATGGTTCTTGTGTACAGGGGTGTTCATCTGGATACGTGGGATTGCTATGTAACACACGTAGGAAGTCAATAATTTAAAAAAAAAAAGAAGTCCGTTGCAAAATAAATATCGATAGAATATACAAAAAAAGGTTCAGTATGTAAATTTTATTATAAGAACCTCTATACCGTTTTTTTTTTTTTGTTTTCTTTAAAATTATCCGTAACTATCTGTTTTGTAGATAAATCTTTTACAGAGTACATGGATAATGAAAAATTTTTCAAGGATTGATACGTGAATTTTTGTAGAATGTAAATTGAGGAAGTGGGGTATAAACTGTATGAACTATTGTAGCACAGACTGTGTCGATCAGAAATGTTATCATTATTCCGGAGATTGTATAACAAATAAGGTAAACATTTATGGCGCTGAAGTAGGACGCAATTCAAAATTTCTCTTTAGAGGGCAACGTAACTTTAAAAAAGTATTTATACTGCATTGATTTGAAACATTTCAGCCTTTAGAACTGCAGGAAGATGAGCCTTCAGCACTTCCTATTGTTGGTGGAGTGATCGCTGCTACTGTTGTACTCCTAATTATTATAGTTTCCATCATCTTGCGCAGGAGGTAAGTCCATCATAACCAAACATCTATAACGCATCTAAATGTATCCTATTTCAATTAAAATGGTTAAGTATTTGAGAATTTTAACTTTAAATCTGATTGAAAATCCTTGATTGTATTATATGATTATTTAATGTTACCAAAATAGTACTCATGATAGTTCTTCACATTCATGAATGAGGAATATATTAGTTTTGTTTGTTTGATTATTGTTTAATGTCCCTCTCGAGAATTTTTCAATCATGTGGAGACACCAGTTGCCGTTGGAGAGCTGCAAATTTTGACCTATCAGGGCCATTAAGCAGTGAGGAATCTTTTCTGTGCCAGCACCTAATGCGACACGGGGCCTCGGTTTATACAGTCTCATCTGAAGGACCGGTCTCCATGTCCCACAGTGGGATTCGAACCCGCGACGTAAGAATCAACTCCTTACTCCGCGACTCTAGAGCAAATGATCTAACCACTGCGACTGATTTTATCAGTGTTATGCATTTTATCTCAAGTAGCTTAATGTGAATATTCAACTGTGGCATCTCTATGGATTTTATCATGTCGTCATGTTTTTGTTATTATAAAGTTAACATTCAATTAAGAAGGGATTCTTGTCAGGTTTCTGACTAAATGAAATTTTCAAAGTATATTTCCTTATATTTCTTATGTATCGAGATGTAAGCGATTAGAAAGATCAGATTTTTCTTTCCTCTTCATAATTGTACACTTTTGAAAAGAGATGGTAAATTGAGTTTGAAATCTATAGCAGGTACTGTATTTTTGGTGGAAGGGCGGCGTATGAAACTGTCTCCTTTTCTGCTTCTCAAAATTACTACAGAACAATGAATTTAATTATAATTTTAAACAATCAAAAACTTAAATTTGCTAATGTAACTTAAAGTTATAACTATGGTTAAAAATTTTACAATATATCAAATATATATTATTTTCAAACAAACTACAATCTTGTTAGCTTTTGAAAGCTTCAATTTCTAATCTAGGAAAAAACTGATTATAAAATCAGTAAAAAGTGGGGGTATTTTCTTAGTAAATGGTAAAAACCTTTTGTTTTTGTATCAATTAGTATCTTAATATGAGAACAATATGTAAAAATAAGAAAAATCAAGTAGAGATGCATATAAAAATAACTTATATTCCCCCCAAAAGTATGGAACACAGAGGAATTTCGGGGTAGACAGTATCAATTTTAGTTATATGATTTATGTTAATTTGGAATTTTTATTCTTAATATCAAGGAAAAAGATAATATGACTTCAACTGACCTTGCTTCTTAAATAAAACGATCAAATTTAATTTAATTGATACAATCAATAAGTGAAGTGATATTGCCGATATGAATCTAGAAAAAAAATCGTTAAAATTTGAATACAATAAATATGAGAAGAATCCCTCCTTATATTCATTCATTTAAATTTCATAGCTAGAAATTAAAATTGTTTTCATGTTTCGGCGATTCAAACTTCGAATTTGAATTTTTTGATGATTAATTAGTGATAATACAGTTATTGACAGTAAGTGTTGTGTAATTTGCGGTGTATGGATTAAGGAATATTTTTGTTACAATTCCTTAGACTCTTGGGGAAGGAAAAAAAGCGTCGTTTTTATTGGAAATGGGAGGGGTTTGTATCCAATCAGAACGTTATGCCCAAACCCGTTTTTTTCTGGTACAAAAAAAGTATTTTTAAGGAAAAAGTATTTTTCAAGAAATTAATTTCTAACAGCGTAATGAAAAGCGAAATTTCTAGTGCGTGATATTCACTACTTGAACAGACAATGGATTTAAAGAATTTCTTTGAATATCAAATATTGTTTTATTGTCTGTTTATTGTTTAACGTCCCTCTAGAGAATTTTTCACTCCTATGGAGACGCTACCACTTGCCGGTGGAGAGCTACAAATTTTGATCTATAGTCGGCACTCAGGGCCATTGAGCAGTGAGGGATCTTTTTCGTTCCAGAACCTACTGCGACACGGGACCTCGGTTTATACAGTCTCATCCGAATGACCGGTCTTCACGTCCCACAGTGGGATTCGAACCCGCGACGTAAGGATCAACTCCATACTCCGCGAGTCTAGAGCGAACGCTCTAACCACTGCGCCACGCGGGCGACTATATCAAATATTAAAATACAAAATGAAGGGGAACTAGTATTACTCAAACTCAGATAGGACAATAATTAGTCCAAATGCAAATGTGAGAAATCATTTTATATTATTGTGAATGTCTCGATTTGTCACTGAATTCGTCTTTGCTTTCCTCAGTACTGGGTTATTTTTCTCTGCTCGAGGTTCACACATGAAAGATTGAACGTCTATTATTAAAGGAATACCATCGATGTGACAGTCACTATCCATACAGTTGATTTTCTCGTCAAACTCTATTTGATATATTTATTTTTAAGATCAGCAATGACCAGATGATTGAGAATTGACACAATTATACTAGCTAGCTATTTACTCAGTGGAGTTCTTAATGCAAGGATCATTTATCACATTTAGTGATTTCACATTTATCACGGGCGTTTTATCAATTTTTAAATTAGGACCTTTTTTCAAACTAATTAAGCGGGAAAATAATAAGTAAGAAGATAATAGCTTTACGATTTTTTGGAAATTAGGAACCTGGTAAAAAAAAAAAAACAACGTTATTTGAATGTAAGTTTTCCTATTAATTTTACTTCGCAACACAGAATATTGTTTAAAAAAATTCGTTAATTAAGAAATCTACGTAGAAAATATATAAGAGGGGTTAAACCGGATGCCATGGCTTACGTCAGGTTACGAATGCGCGAGAATGCTAGAGAGTTCGCCTCTAATACAACTTGCCCTTAGAACAATTCGCCCTTTTTGAATTAGAATATGTCAATCATTGGCAAACCTCGCTTTAAAATCTGTACATCGTATTTATGTATTCTTTGGCGTAACCTAGATTCAAATTTCTCTTTTATACATATATCCATATATACAAGCTAAATTCTATGGTTCAAGAATTTTAAATAAGTAGGAAGAACTTATATAGATAGCTTACACTGTAACAGCTTGAACATGTTGAATTACAAACTATTAGGTTTTCAAAGATAGTCTTTACCATGTTTACCGGCATTAGTTTTATGCAACAAGATTCGCAAAATAATTTGATAGACAGCGATCCAAAAATAGCTTAATAAAGGCCTGTAGCAACGTTTTTCCATGTGTGAGAGAGGGAAAAACATCAAAAAAAAATTCTGCGTACTACAGATCTGTTCTACAAGAGTACCATCTATCTTTCCAATGATAGAATATCTAGTACAGATTTTAAGTCCCAGGCGTTATGGGTTACATGTATCGATACAGCCCGATTTTTTTAATGACAAAACTATAGGCCATACAATTGGGGATAAAATTTAACAATTTTGATATGAAGGTACAATCACTCAAATAAGGCAGATCAATGTAGAAAAGGTTAACCTGTGCCACCTTTCAGAGTAACCAATGAACTCGTCCATGGATGCATTGACGGTCGTTGTAACAAGAACAGATGTGAGTTACCCCATATCCAAGATATTCGACTTTTAATTTACTCCAATTTCACTAGGAAAAAAACTGCACATGTTTTGAAACTGGTGTATAGTTCTTCATGTCCGTAGCAAATACTGTCGCCAGTATAAGCGTCACTAACAAATAGTGCACACACCTGTGCTTGCAAGACCAAATAGCCAAGGTCTACACACGTGCGATGAGATTGTCAATCGCATCTCCTCAGACCTTTCTGGCGAGCTCGGAAAACATGTTGTTTTGCCGAGAAGTTACGATCGCAGGTAATTACACACAAAATTGATCCTTTTTTGCGTTTTTAAATTGATCGAGTTAATTGATAACCTAGCATCGCTTTAGATAACTCGAGACCCTCTAGTGCCGAGACCCTCTAGTGCCGAGACCCTCTAGTACTCCAGTACAGGGTCGGATCCAGCAGGTTTTGAAAGGGGGTTCTAGGTCACATCGCAGGCACTTAAATTCAAGCCCGTAGCAACGGTTTTCAAAGGGGGCAACATCTTAAAAGAGTTGACAAGCAAAAAAAAATCAATAAATAAATAAAATAAAAATAACAACCTCTGCACCACACTATAAAATCCTATTTCGGGGGGGGGGGGGGACTTCGTATAACTTTTCGGTACATTTTGATTTCTTTTATATGTTTGATTTTTCCGTATTTTGAACTTTCCCGCAAGAAAAAGGCCGGGGGAGCTTTCAGTGCAAATCAAAACTTATATATTAAAATCATAACAAAAGATTATTTTTTTAAGAAAAAGTGAGCCACCCCTCCCCCACATACTAGGGAACATTTTGAACCTTTCTCTTCATTGATTAAAATATCCCCAAAATATAAGGAGACAAGTATTCTCTTATGCATGCTTCCTTTCATGACTTTTTATGCACACTTCTTAAAGATATTAACTTTAGAAAATGGTCCAAAAATGGCATAGCCGTACGTTCTTCGGAACCTTCCGATGATATCAAAGTTTTTTCATGTTACGTGTAAGTGGTCGAGGCCAGGGGTCGGGGTTGTGAAGGTACACGGAGGAAAGCAATAAGCAAAACTCTATCTAAAGAGCAGAAAGGTCAGAGAATGAAGTACTTAGTACTGAGTACACCTTTCCGTAGACAACGAGAAGAATTTTGGATAAGAAAGCTAGGGACAGCCTTTCCCTATGGATGTAATGACAATGTCGATAGTGTAGGAAATCTTTCCAGTCCACAGTGTAACAATGTAAATGTGATGGGACTTTTTAACCATACACAGAGACGTAAGCGTAGTCATGGGCATCGGTCTTACAATAAACCTTTAATACACGATGTCTCTTTTGATTCATTACTACCTTACGTAAATCAACAGTTAGGTCTACATCATATTCGCACCAAACTTTACTCTGTCCCTTTGAAACTTTTAAATAGTCTTATTGAAAAAGTCAAGGAAAGTCCATTTTTTGATTCCTCGACACCAGACACTACTGG